CTCAGCTTTCAGAAGCAGGGTGAGTTGGGATGTGGAGATACTGTGTGGATGAAGGCAATCTCACTGTGGTGCTGTACAGCCCCCCAATGACCAATGAAGTTTTAAAAACAACCTTGTCCTACTATGCAAAGATTTAAAGCATAAGCTCTTGACATTAATCTGTCACATTATCATAATCTTCAATATTAAATAGTTGGCATTTAACTTCAAACCTACAGGGATTCCCCAGAACTTCTTTCATCAGTAATAGCTAAAACATTCTCGAAACCGCTGGCACTGGTCTGGCATATCTAATATATACTGGGCCTGTTTCTTTACTGTATCAGTTTTATACCAGTGTAAAACTGATATAATAGAGATCAAAGCCTGCAGCTTCTGTGTTTGAACTGCCAAACCTTAGCTTTAGTACAAAAGAATATAAAGCAGTGTATCTGTTCCATATTTCTTGTCTTCTCTCCAGAAGCAAAATCATTTTGGATAGATGCCCCAGGGAGCAGAGAAGACCATATTTGTGATATTTATTGCATCTTGGATCAGAAGATTACAGTAATCTCACAATAAAATAAACCCCAAACAATAATAAATCTCCAATGTTTTAGCTGTGTGAAGAAATTCCCCCTCAGTGAAGACTTTCAAAAGAAAGAAGAGGTGATGGAGAGATTAATTTGGAGGTAATTCTTCAGGGAATTTGATTCGTGACTGGGAGCAGCACTACTGAAGAAAATGCATTGTACTTCTCTGATGGAGTGTGAACTCAATCACTAGCAAAGGTCCTGTCAAGAAGCCTACAGCAGTGGTCCATGACTCCTAGGAAGCAGGTTGATGTGAGCATTGCACATGTGCAACAGCATGGCTCAGAAGGGTACTAAATGTTGCTTTGCCCTCTTCCATCACCACTTCTCTTAGCCCAAAACTGGCTTTTAAAATTACCTTCATGCCTCCTGCCAGCCCCAAACTTCAGTTTTCTCCTGGTTTCTAACAGAATATGCAAATACAGACTTAGATATGAATTCATTTCCCAAAGTCAAGTTTTATGAAAAACAGGCAGATGCTTAGTGAAGCCATTATTTTTCTTCATTCTTATTCATGCTGTAAAACAACAGCACACACAACTACAAGGGCCTCTCTCTCCCCCTGAACAAACATACACTGATACTTGAATGGTTGTGGTTAAACTGATGGGTGAGCTGGAAGTACAAAGTGCTGGCACAAATAAGGCTTTGGAGCTGCATTTCTCACAGCTGTTACATTTTCCATAGCAGGCATGAAATATACTCCTTGAAGACACTTCCTTTCTGAAATTGGCTTTGAGAAAAACAACACGTTTTGAGGTTTCTTTGCACATTGTAAGGAAACACAAACAGGTTACAAACAGCATTTAAAAAATTCTCTGGCAGTCACCTTTAAAAACCTGCAATTTTCTGTAAAAGGACTCTGCTGTATTTTCTCCCATTAAATCCCTTCTGTTTCAGGTCTTCTCAGTGCTCTGTTTCTGCTGTATGTGAAAAGGTACCTTAGCAATAGAGTATCACGTAGGGGACAATTCTATGATGTGACATACTAATACAGTACAGTTTTAGGAATCATCTGAGCTGGAGTCAGATATTAGTTTATGTTTGATGATGTTCTTAAAAGGTGACATTGTTCTAAGAAGAAGAAAGAAACCAAATCCTTGAGTTACAAAAAATACCACAGGAAAAAAAAGTGGAGATATACTTTTTCATGGAGGTATACTTAAAAACTATGTTAAAGGACCCAGGATATGGAAGTTCTGTACTTGTATGTCTTTTCTGATAGATGTTCAAATCAAGATCTAGCTGAAGAAAATAAGCCTGCTATAAGAAAAGTCCCTTTCTACACTGAACTGTCTTCCTCAGCTACAACATTTTTGACTGCCTGTCATGCAGGTCTTCCTAAAATGCAAGTTTGCAAACAATGCTATCACTGGTAATGACTCCTATACATTCCAAATATGGTCATCTATGGTGCATTTATCTTCACATTTGTTATCTAGAAGTTGGTCATCTAGTTCAAACCAATTGTTCAGAGAACCTCTCCATCCAGCGGAGGGAGACAAGTATCTTCACCAGGCAAAGATATACATCTCCAGATGTGTGTTTGGCACCAATAAGAAGAACTGCCTTCTGGATGTACCTGTGTCAGACCACTAAATGTGAAAACAGCTTGCTTAGGAAATCTCAGCCTTTACGTGGCTGAAGGTTAATGGAATAAAGCTCACCACAAATGTACTATTGTACTGAGGACTCTGTCAGGCTTGGATTCATTCCACCTTTCTTTAGGTACACTTCCAAGGCACCTATGGGAGGAGTCATTTGCCTGTGGGACCTTCTATAGAGACTGGAGAATAACAGGCACATCCTGAGAGTGAGCCACACCACAGGGATGCCCAGAAGAACATGAAAAAGGAGTTCTCAAAGTCTATTTGGGTCACCCAAGATCTACTAAGAGACTACAACAGGAGCCAAGCACAAGCCTTTTCCATTTCAGGCAACCTGAACAAGCAGTTAACATTATGTGGGATGAATCCCAGCTTAAACCCCACTAAAGTGTGGATTTCCACATGTACAGTGCAGCACTAGCTGCCACATCATACTTTGCTGTAAGATAAACAATACCCAATAATAAGACAAATCCGTAGCTGTCTGAAATAGTAGCTCTTAGAGTGCTTTTTTATAGCACAGCATACCAGATGTTGACTTTATGGATGTGATAAACTCTTTTAAAATTGTAGTACAATGGGATTTCAGCTGTTAGCACAGATTCTGCTAAGTCATCTGCCCAAGGAGAAAATTTGTCCTTAATGACTATACTTCTGCTTATTTTTAAGTGGCAGCTTAAAAACATCAGCCAGCATGAAGCATTGGAGCCAAGTGGTCTCTTACTGTGTCTATTAATTTCAGTGTAGAGTCATTTTATCTTTGTATTTTTGCTATTCAGATGCTTGTGCACCATATTCCCCAGTATTTCTGCTTGCAGTAGTGTGGTACATGGAGATATGCAGAGATCATGTGTCAGACAAAAGCTGCTGAAGTGTTTCTGGACCAAAACTTGTCCTGGAAAGCGTAACAGTCAAGTATGCAAAGAAAGTGTCCAAACTAGCACACCAGGAGTCTGGCTAACCCTGTAACTGCAGCTCTCATGGTTTAGCATTCTTGTCCACCCCACAAACTCTGCTCACCTGTAACACCACTCTCAAGGGTAACAGACCCAGCTGAATGCAGAAATACCTTTATTTCACCAATCTCCACTAGTCCATGTGCTACCCTGAAGTGCAGCTCCTTGGTTATTTCTGCTATTGGTAGTTTAGCTGCTGTATCTCAGTTGTGTTGGATCATGGCACAGTAAAGTCAACACTGCTGCTAAACTAGGCTGGCCTCCACTGGGCAGAGACCCAAGTCCAGATAGTCCAGTCCTTCAGCTTATCTCTACAGACCTCATTTGGTAAAATCAGATATTCCCCCATCCTGTTCTCCTTCTTTCTTGTTCTTCTTTGACTGTATTTCCTTCCCAAACTGCCCATACAGCCATACAGGAAGTGCTCACTGTAAAGCACACTCTGTTCATCCATTCCCTTCCACCACTAAGGTAAAAATAGGATTCTATTGACATCTGAGGGAAACATAAGCAAATAATATATAAAGAGAAATTATGAAGTAGTGTAATTAATATAAATGGACTAAAAGCTACTTTTCTCCCTACACATGGAGCAGAGGTTTCTGTGCTTCTAAACAATATTCTTACAATGTTCACATTTCCTGTAAATTGACTTTGGGGTTCTCCCTGAGTCACAGTGGACATTTTCCCATCACCAGTGATTGTCAAGTGCTTTCCTACATTCTGATTTTCTTATGTGCTAAGATAACAATATAAAGGTAAGCTTACCTTACCCTGGAGGAACAGTAAAACCAAATTTATATCAGCATGTGGTGTTTAACTGCTGGGAGTTGAGGATATTGTACAGAGGAAGTTTACTGGAAAGTGCAGAGCTAAGGGATTTCTGCATATTAGTTATGACATCTCTGGGAATATTTAGATTTTGAATCAGAACTCAGCTGGGTTTCAGTGACATCAATTTTATCCCAAAAGGAATATTATCACATTGCAGGCAAATAGTGCTGGCTTGTTCCGACAAGAAAAACTTCATTTTTATAAAAAATGATGCGCTGACTAGGTGAACCTCTCTGCTGTGCTGAAAGATTGTATAATGTTTATGCAAAACCTGATTTTGAGGATACATAAAGACCTCAGAATAGGATGTGAGGGGGTGTGTATACATATACAGCTTTCATCCTCAAAACACTATGCAGTTAAAGGCAAGAAAAAATCTGGGATTCTTGTGCCCCAGTTAGCCTGTTAAGTGTTCACACTAATAGACATAGTAACTAGCCGAAAAAACAGCTCTTGGTGTTGAGATTGCTGTATATGGGAGTTAGAGATAAGCAGGATTTGTTACAGTGAAACTAGAACAAAGGTAGGTAAGTTGGTAGGTTGTCACGTACTAGTTTTGTTTCCAAATATCAGCTAAAAGCAATTCATCTCTATCTTGGAACAGAGGGAGCCACGAGTTAGGAAAAATAGTTTATTTATTCCACATTAAACAATTTAGATGGGTTTAGCAGCTTTAGTCTTCCTATGGCTTAAAGCAGAAAATTGGAGCCTGGCATAATACAGATACAGTTCTACTGATCTGTGTTTGTCTTCTATGTGAAATGCTGCCTACAGCAGAGCAAGCTGTTAGCCTGAATTTGAAGGGAAATTAGGTTTATTCAATTATGGTCTCTGTCGATCCTTCCCTAATAATTTTTGAACCAGATGGACAGTTTAAAATCAATCAATAAATAAACAAACTAATAAATAATGACAAGGGGACTGAAGTCTCTGCAGTCTGAAGTTCCTAAAAGCTTACAGAAAAGAAGCGAATACAAAAAGAAGAAAGAATTAAATATTGCATCCCCAGTGGAGAAGTGAGCTCAAGTTACCTGTTGTGCCTGGCCTGCCAGGCAGCCCCTCAGCAGCAGTACATCCAGGGCATCAGCACCCTGGCAGCCCAGGATCCACCACAGTACACATGTCCTCTTCCCGTGTCCATGGGATGAAACTAAGGACAAAATGGGGGCAAAAAAAGGCTTACAGGAAATGAGAGGGGAATATTTTAAGAAAAGGCAGTGTTAGAGGCCATGAGGGAGACCAGTGTTCTCCTAGGTGAGGGTAGAGGGAATATGTAGCAACAGAGACAGAAATTGATAGGAAATTAGATTTAAATAGTTCTGTGGTTCATGTGGCTTCCTGCTTATTAAACATAATCACCCTTGTATCATACAGAAGAGCTTCCACTGAACCCAACTTTTACAAAAAATGCAAAAAAAATGATATATGATATATATATACATATATACGTATGTATCTGTATGTATTTAGATCTTATTAACCCTGTTTTGTCTGAACATCAGGGACACAGATATTTCTGACGGCAACAAGAAAGGCACATTAGGTAAAGGGAAGAACAACAATAAAACGTGAAAATTCTCTTTTCTACCGAAGATGAAATCTGGGACTGCATAATGAACATGGGCCGGCAGTATGTGCTTGCAGCCCAGAAAGCCAACCGTATCCTGGGCTGCATCAAAAGCAGCGTGACCAGCAGGTCAAAGGAGGTGATCCTGCCCCTCTACTCTGCTCTCATGGGACTTCACTTGGAGTATTGTGTGCAGTTCTGGTGTCCTCAACATCAAAAGGATATGGAACTGTTGGAACAAGTCCAGAGGAGGGCCACGAGGATGATCAGGGGACTGGAGAGCCTCCCGTATGAAGACAGGCTGAGGAAGTAGGGGCTGTTCAGCCTAGAGAAGAGAAGGCTGCGTGGAGACCTCATAGCAGCCTTCCAGTATCTGAAGGGGACCTATAGGGAAGCTGGGGATGGACTCTTCATTAGGGACTGTAGTGATAGGACCAAGGGGTAACGGGTTAAAACTTAAACGGGAAGTTTAGGTTGGATATAAGAAGGAAATTCTTTCCTGTTAGCGTGGTGAGGCACTGGAATGGGTTGCCCAGGGAGGTTGTGAATGCTCCATCCCTGGCAGTGTTCAAGACCAGGTTGGACAAGGCCCTGGGTGACATGATTTAGCGTAAGGTGTCCCTGCCCACGGCAGGGGGGTTGGAACTAGATGATCTTAAGGTCCTTTCCAACCCCAACGATTCTATGATTCTATGATTCTATGATTTAGATTTGAAATTACTACTTGCAGCTTTTTTTTTTTTTTATAACTATTACCATGAGCATGAAAGCTCTTCCAGCAAATTTAAACTGACTCAAAAACACCTACGGTATCACCTGAGTCAAGAATTCCTTTATTTTTTGCATCATCTCAAGAAGACAAGCTTGAAAAATGTTCCACAGTGTAACAGATGAGTTTGCAGACCTACAAAGACCAGCTTGGCCATGCCAATTTGTTTTACTGCATCCTTTATTATTGTGTGCTATGTCTGACTGCCTTCATGTTAATGCTGTTTCTATAAGACAATGTATGTTCTATATTAAAATGTGTTATCATAGTATCACAGAATAAAACACTGACCAGTAACAGATGTCAAAAGAAAATGCTGGAAGGCCTGTAGTGAAGAAGTAGAGAAGTCAGTCTCACCTCTGTGCCTGGCAAAATCTTGGAGCAGATTCTCCCGGAAGGCATGCTAAGGCACATGAAAAACAACAAGGTGCTTGGTGACAGCCAGCATGGCTTCACTAAGGGGAAATCCTGCCTGACCAATTTGGTGGCCTTCTATGATGGGGCTACAGAACTGATGGACAGGGGTAGAGCAGTTGATGTCATCTACCTGGACTTTACTTGTGCAAAGCATTCGACACTGTCCCACACGACATCCTTGTCTCTAAATTGGAACGACATCAATTTGATGGATGGATCACTCGGTGGATAAAGAACTGGCTGGATGGCCACACACAAAGAGTTGTGGTCAATTGTTCAGTGTCCAGCTGGAGACCAGTAACGAGTGGTGTCCCTCAGGGATCGGGGTTGGGACTGGTCTTGTTCAACATCTTTGTCGCTGACATGGACAGTGGGATTGAGTGTGCCCTCAGCAAGTTTGCCGATGGCACCAAGCTGTGTGGTTCGGTTGATATGCTGGAGGGAAGGAATGCCATCCAGAGGGACCTTGACACACTTGTGAGGTGGGCTGATGCCAACCTTATGATGTTTAACCATGCCAAGTGCAAGGTCCTACACCTGGGTGGGAGCAATCCCAGGCACAGCTAAAGGTTGGGCAGAGAAGAGATTCAGAGCAGCCCTGTGGAGAAGGACTTGGGGGTGCTGGTTGATGAGAAAATGAACATGAGCCGGCAGTGTGTGCTCACAGCCCAGAAAGCCAACCGTATCCTGGGCTGCATCAAAAGCAGTGTGACCAGCAGTTCGAAGGAGGTGATCCTGCCCCTCTACTCTGCTCTTGTGAGACCTCACCTGGAGTATCGTGTGCAGTTCTGGTGTCCTCAACATCAAAAGGACATGGAACTGTTGGAACAAGTCCAGAGAAGGGCCACGAGGATGATCAGAGGACTGGAGAGCCTCCCGTATGAAGACAGGCTGAGGAAGTAGGGGCTGTTCAGCCTAGAGAAGAGAAGGCTGCGTGGAGACCTCATAGCAGCCTTCCAGCATCTGAAGGGGGCCTATAGAGATGCTGGAGAGGGACTCTTCATTAGAGACTGTAGTGACAGGACAAGGGGTAACGGCTTAAAACTTAAACAGGGGAAGTTTAGGTTGGATATAAGACGGAAATTCTTTCCTGTTAGGGTGGTGAGGCACTGGAATGGGTTGCCCAGGGAGGTTGTGAATGCTCCATCCCTGGCGGTGTTCAAGACCAGGTTGGACGAGGCCTTGGGTGATATGATTTAGCATAAGGTGTCCCTGCCCACGGCAGGGGGGTTGGAACTAGATGATCTTAAGGTCCTTTCCAACCCTAACAATTCTATGATTCTATGATTCACACTGCCAAAACCCTAGCCTGTTCCCTGCTACAGGTTTAGCCCATGCCATCCACCATCCCTCTGTACAACACACAGTTTGGGGGACAGAGAAGGTTATGGCCATTCCCAGTAGATGTTTTGGGATGAATCCTGGACTTCTCTTTTAGCCGTGGCAGTTGGGAAGGCAGAATGCTATTTAAGTTTATGAGCCATTTATTTACTAATGTAGATATAGCCCCACAATTTCAAATGTTAATGAGCCTTCATTTACATTCTGTCAGTATTTCCACTAGAGATACTTCGATAGAGTCGATGACTGCATTTTCTGTTTTCATGGACACATTACATGGATGACATCACATCAATCGACCTTTTGCAGTCGAGGCCCTTAGAAGCTGCTTTTGTTTACACTGCCATTTAATTACAGCTGAACTAATTTCTGATCACTCATTTTAAAGCATTTTTCAATTACTACTTTTCAATAACATGGCAAAGCAAGTCTTAATATAGTACCATTTCTGACTGGGTCTGTGGTTGTTTGGTGTGCCAGATTCTTGTCAGATAACAGGCTCAGAAATCTCTAAATTTTACCATTTGTTCTCCAATCCACACCAGAATGACAGGCGAACACTTAAGTGAATTGCATCTATGTTTAAACTGAAACCTGAGGGGAGAACTCTGGCAAACTTCATTCCTTCACTTCAGGAAACTTTCTTTACCATCAAAAGGGATGGTAAACTTCTTTTTTTCTTTGTATCCCTTTTGCAGGCTCTTGCATTTAGCAATCTGTTCCACTCCAAACTGCCTTTAACATTTTTTTCTGAAGACGTGATTTCTAGTTACTTATTTCAGAACATTTTATGCTTTACAAAGATGATTGCTATTCACTTTGTCCCTGTTGTTTGTATAACATCTAGTTTCATATTCTGTGTTGGTTGTTCTAATTTTTCTCCTTTCTTTTGTGCAAATCCCTTATAATTTCTGTATAGATGCTTCAGTTGCTTTTTACTATTTAGATCCAATTTTTCAGTCAGATGAGACACTGTCCTTTTTATATCTGTTTTTATTAATTCAAATACTTGCTTCTAGCTAGCAATGTTTTCCTACTCTTTAACTTATTCTTTTTTGTGTTTGTGTACTTTTTAATCAAGTTCTGTTTGATTTGTGCCGAAACCAGATGTCTTTTCCACTCCTCATAATTCCTCCCATTCTTCACTCATGTAACACTCCCAAAAGGCCAGTATCCTTGGTGCTCAGTACTGTTATCACAAATGTTTTCTAGGAGATGGATATCCTAAAACCTTTCTTTCACAGAGACAATCCATGGTTGCATTATATTTTTATGACTATGTCACAGAATTATAAGAAACGTAAACTGCAGGAGCCCCTGCAGGTCAAGTCCAACCTTGCTGCTCAAGGCAGGGCTAGCTGCAGGGATAGACCATGAGGTATGGAAGTTGCAACAGCAGGAATAATCAAAGGCAAGAGAAGCGTGATATGAATGACCTCCTATTGAAGGCATATAGGGATTAGCAGTTCATCATGATCCGAACACATAAATAGGACACCCTGATGAGACACAAAGAACAGTTGAATAAACGCTAACAATTCATGGAGGTGAGATAGGATGACAAAACTCATCACTGAGATGCTCTAAAGGGGAAAAAAAGGCACATGCAAAAATCAGCACATAACTCCCAACCTAAGAAGAGACCAGGAGACAAGATGATGTCTCAACAGCCAGTGTCCTTGTCCGTCAAACATGACTCAGGGACAGAATACCTGGATTCAAGCATTCTGACACCTGCATGCTGCACACACCAGCTGGGTATGCATGTCCTGGTACTTGTCTGTGGGAGTGTAACACAGGATTGGGCAAATCAGTATTGTTTTAGTGTAAATGACCTTCCAGTCCCATTCTCAGGGGCAGCAAGAGTGTGGTTGCTCCATAAAGGGAAACAAGCAGGAGCTGAGGGTGACCACACATGGGCAGAGGAACCTTTCCACCATCCTGGAGCAAGCTGAGAAAGGCTGAGTTCGTAGGAACAGGGACTGGTAACAGCCCACTGACAATCAGATGAACACCAAGTGATTGGTTAGGTCCAAGACAGCCCAGGAAATCCTAT